TCCTCCGTAAAGGGGCCATCTACGTGCCAGGGGACGATCTTCGCGCCAAGGTACTGCAGCAGTTGCACGACGCGCCCACTGCCGGGCACTTTGGCACAGAGAAGACGATAGAATTAGTCGCCAGAGACTTCTGGTGGCCCAGAATGAGAGGGGAAGTCGCGGACTACGTGGCGAGGTGCGACACCTGCCAGAGGGCCAAACCAGTACACAGACCGCCGGCGGGACTGCTGGAACCTCTTCAAACCCCGTTCGAACCATGGGAGAGAGTGGCCCTGGACTTTGTCACGGATCTGCCCAGCTCGAGGGGCAAGACGGCAGTGCTAGTGGTGGTGGACTTGTTCTCCAAGATGGCACATTTCATTCCGTGTGCGAAGGTGGCCACGGCGGAACAAACCGCCAAACTGTTCATAGACCACGTGTTCAAGGTCCACGGTCTGCTGCGGTCCATACTGTCCGACAGGGGGCGGCAGTTCATCTCGAACTTCTGGCAGAAGCTGATGGGCTTCCTGAACGTCAAGATCAACCTGGCTTCGGCTAGACACCCGCAGACCAACGGGCAAGCGGAGCGGGTCAATGCCATCATGCAGCAGTACCTGAGATGCTACGCAAATCAGCAGCCGGCGACGTGGGTGGACTACCTGCCGCTCGCCGAGTTCGCCTACAACAACACGAAGCACGTGTCCACAGGGGTGACGCCGTTCTTTGCCAACAACGGAAGGCACCCCAGAACCTTCCCGGGACTGGAAAGAATGGGGGAGGGGGAGCCGCAGACAGCAGACGTGTTCGCGTCAGAGTTGCAAGAGGTCCACGATCAACTTCGGAGGCACCTGGAGCTGGCTAAACACGCATACAAGGTGCAAGCGGACAAACACAGGAGAGTCGGCGAAGAGATCCAGGTGGGAGACTGGGTCTGGTTGGCAGCCCAAGCAGTGCCGGCCAGGTCGTTAGCGAAGAAGAAACTAGGGCATAAACAACTAGGGCCCTACCAAGTCGAAGAGCAGGTCAACCCGGTGGCTTTCAGGCTGATGCTTCCGGAGGGTTCCACAGGTCGGTGCTCACTCCCTACAAGACACCTCACAGGTTTCAGGAACCAGGAACGGCTCCGAGTCCGCGACGAGAGGGAACCAAACAAGGGGGAGTGACACAAGAGGAGTCCATCAACGAGGTCACAGAGATTTTGGACTCTAGATGGGGAGAAGAGGGCGTAGAATACCTCCTCGCCAAGGAGGGCTTCCCGGCCAGTGCCAACAGCTGGGTGCCAGGCTACGCCTTGGAGGAACCTCTGCTCAAGGACGAGTTTCACGCCCTTTTCCCACACAGGCCCATGCCAGCAGACTTTTTCGACGATTGGCTTTTCACACCGACGCTTTCAGCCAGCACTTTCCACGGGTTCGACTCGGACGAGGAACCGACAATGGACATGCGTTCCCCGGAGGGGTCGCCCTCGGGATCTGCCTCAGAGCCCTCGTATTGGTGGGACGATAGACCAGAGGAGCAGTGGCGCAGGAAGTGGCTGGAGGTTCCAGGTCGAGCGACGGACCCGGGAACGACTGAGGCGGAAACGGACGTGGACATGTTCGGGGAGGACCTGGGCTTCGAGCACGGCGGCACAGAGATGGAAGCGGAGGTGACCGCTGTCGACGAGCGCAGGGAGGAAGAATCGGAAGTCTTCAGTTGGAGGCCCGCCAAGGGAAGCGAACTGTATCCGGCATTCGTCCCCATGACTCGGCAGCACCCAGCTCCCGCACCGGAAGGAGGGGAGGGGGAAAAGGGGGGCTTCGAGGGGGGATGGATGTCAGGGGTTCAGGAGCAGAGGCGAGGGCAAGGGAGGAAACAGAGAGCGAGGGGGAGGAGTCCGAAGAAAGGATGAGTGATGACGACGACCCGAGATCTCCGAGTCTTTCCAGTGAATCAGAAGATTCACAGAAAGGAGCGCCAGTGGCCAGAGCAAAGGGGGGGCCTAGGGGGACACCCCAGGAGGAAGGGACCAGCGGGGGTTCAGAGGGCAGCAGTTGGAAATCGGGGCCAGCGTCCCCGCCAGAGCGCAGTGGAGAGGAAGGACGTCAGGGATCAAGCCCTGGCAGCTCGCAGCAGGGAGGAGGGCATGAGTCAGGAGTGACCACACCCCCATCGGGGAGAGAAGAAACGGTCAAGCAGAAAGTGGAAGGTTGGGCGCGCGCGCCAAGTTCAAATGCACAGGAAGGCGGCGCAGTAAGCAGCCCGGAAAGGGAGCCAGGTCCTAAAGCCCGACGCAAGGAGACAGGAGGGTCCGGGGGGTCAGCGTCAGAGGAGTCCCGGAAGGAAGAGACCACGGGGGGCAGAGGGACCCAGAGAAGGACGGTCAGGCGGAAAAGGTGGAGTAAGGCGAGGATATTAAGTTGGTGTACAAGGGGCGGAGACTCAGACGGAGCTTCGCCGGTCTAGCCATTAGACGTAGAGTTGCACGCAGCAGCTTGGAAATGGAAACTGTAACTCAATAAAGACTTTTATAAAGTGAACGCTGGCTAGCGTGATCCTCTGTGAGCTAGGATCGGAGAGCAGCTCTGACATCATACTTTTTTGGCCATCTATTCCAGCACTGTTCTTTTCAGCCTTGCTATATCTCTTGCTGTCTGCCCCCACCCCAGCCCCCAAATCTGCAGTTGTGTCCCAGGGCAGGGCTGTTACCAATCGGGACACTTCCTTAAGCCCAGAGGCAAATTAATAAGCATCCCTGGTTGCTGAAATAAGCTGGCATCTCCTCCTGAGCTTCCCATACCTGCAGAGAAGTCATGGCTCTTTTTAAAGCACACACACCGCAGAATGCTTGCCTCTTAACAATGATATTCTCAGTAGAAGTATTTCCGTGGAACGCTTTAGAAGAGTGATGGAAAGAACAGAATAAACCCAGTTGCTGCAGCAACATGTTTTCCAATGCCTGTTTTTGGGCTGCCCGTGCAGTCATTCTCTCTTTCTTTCTTTCTCTCTCTCTCTCTCTTCCTCCCCCTCTATTTTGGATACTAGTTGCTAAGGGTGTAAAAAAGAGAGAGTGGCAGAATTTGAGTCTCTGGATCCATCTGGGATTTGAGGTTGGCTCAGATAAATTTAGAGCTATAGTAGCACTTTGTTCCGCGCAAGCCACCGCTTGTCAGCTGGCAGCACCGGGAACTCAACCGACTGCCACACAAAACACACACATAAATGTACGGATTTTCATTTGCAGCCAAGGCAGTTGAGTGAAGGAGAGCTGGCTTCAAAGCTTTGGGAATGGAGAAGGGAAGGCTCGCTAGCCCTCAGTATCCTGTGGCACTTGCACCCACTAGACAAAAATCCACACCACCTTGTATCCCCTCACTTCCTTCCAGTGTTTTTGCAAAAATTATATATCCACAATTATGTCTTTTGTCAGTGCTTGTTCTGGGAGTCTTGCCTTGCCCTGATGGCTGTCACAGATTGGTAGATGCCTTGTTACCTCCCTTGTTACTACCTTTGTAAGCCAACCTCCCATTTCAGTTTGGCCCTGGTTGTTTTTTCTTTCATTTTGTATGCCAGCATTATGTTGCCTGACATTATCACATTGGCACACCTGTCTCCCGCTTGCAAGGACTTTGCACAGTTTGCCATTGTTGACTCTCTTGCCACTGGCCCACCAATTGTAAGATCTTGGTCTGCAACTAATTATTAATAGGGGCTGCATTTGTATGGTCTGGCGCCAAAGAAGCCTTCCAAGGCTGCTTCTGAATGTCTTAACCTTCCCTCTTCTACTGATAAAATAATATCAGTAAATAAAATGGATCAAAAGCAGTGTGGTGGGCAGTCTAATAGAGCATAATAGCATCCAGCTATTACACATTCTGGAATTCAGGAAAAAAAGTTTTTGCCAACTATCTATAAGCCGCACAATAAATTTTGTTTCTTGGGCATCTGTAGGCAGAAGTAGCCTACTCTGATGACACCATCACTATAAAAGCCATGCTTTTTTTGTTGCATTTTTTTCTGGTCTCCCCTTTTTTATTTATAGCATTTATATCTTGCCCTTTAGCTGAAAAGGCTCTCAGGATGACTTACAAACATCGGTACCCAGATGGCCCCTGTTCTCAGGCTCACCATCTAAAAAGACATGTTGCATGAGGAAAAAGGAAGGGGAGAGAGGAGGAAAGAGCACAGGCCCAAGTACTCAAAATTGCAGCCAAAGTCAGTGGTGTCTTGCTTCTCCCTCCCATTCTACCTCATCTTCCTTCGGAGGCTGCCAGCCAAAGGAACCATGGCATTTACAGGATTTCAGCAGGAAGTTACAGAACATGCACTGATTGGAATGAAAGCAAAATGCCCACCCCAAAACTTTTGCAGGTGCAGGTGGTATTGAATGTGGGAATCACAAATAACCATCCCAATCCCAGCATAAGCACAAATCATCATGAATGCATTTTAAAAAAGGATATTGGGGGGGGAGGGGGAAGTTTATGCTATCAAAGGTGTCTATAACTCCCCAAACTATTCTATTTACAGGCCATTTTTGTTTATTTAAAAGCATTTATAAACTAATTATTTAAAAATTTCTAAGCAGTGCACAGCACATGAAAACAAAACAGGCATTAAAACACATAACTCAGGGTTCAATCCTACGGGTCATGGAGAGGCTGGGTAAATGGATACATGTGATGCTACTGGTGGTTGCTGCTTCACATGTGGCAGAAGGAAGGGCATTCCACAGTACAGGGGCAGTAGCAGAAAATGCCCATTTTCAGGTCACTGGTATGATGACGTAATCCTGGGCTGCTGTTCTGACTCCCCTTTGCCCTCCCTCAGTCCTCGCTGCCTTGCCTCTCCCGCTCCACACATTCACATCAGTTTTGGAATAGTGTTTCTAAAGACGCCCCCAAGGGCCACCCGCTCTGCTATTGCTCCTGGCTTAATCCCTTCTTTCTGTAGTCACCCATGTTGCAGTCTAAAATTGAAACCAATACATATCCCTTCTCTCTCTCTCTCTCTCTGTTTTCTTTTTCTCCTTCTATTTGAAGGGACAGTGGAGAAATGACACATTCAACGGACAGGGCTCTATAATCCATTGTTCAGGTGTCATCTATGATGGACTGTGGCTCAATGGCTACCCTGTTGGTATGTACTTTGATTATGCAACCAGGTTCGTAATGAGACTTCTGCATAATGCCCTTCCTTTCAGCCTATTGATGCATACAGTTGGGCCGCAGTGCTGGCATCGTTTTTATCCCTGGGACGTGTCACTCATAAAGAGCAAAAACACTAGTGAGCCCTTTGCATGGAGGGATCTGGCAGAGGGGTAGAAATCCATTAATGGAACGGAATGAGAAGCCACAACATGAAAATGCTGCATGGGGTGTGTGTTTTTTTAAAAATTGTGTTTCTGAAGAAATCTTCCTTTTTCCCCTGCTGCATAATTTGTGTGCTGAGCATGGGAAAAGCTTTTGTAACTCTGACAACAATTGTAGCTATATTGGTGTTGGGCCCAGTGGTGGCTTGTCCATTATGGCAAATGGGGCATTGCCTCACCAACCTCAGCCTACCTTCAGTTGGCTCCCACCTGCCTGCCTGCCTTCTTCCTTACAACCAATCCAAGAGGCGGCACTGCCTCTGTCATTGGCTCTGGCTCCACCTACTGTTGGTCTCCCTGTCCAGCACGTGTGGAAAAAGTGCTGGCTTCCAAGTGGGTGTGAATAATGTGTGCACATATTTAAATTCAAGAGAGAAGTGGATGAAAGTATTGGTTCCAGTATTATATGAATGTCAAGGATTCTGGAGCTTGGATTGGGAACTACAGGGTTTCAGATTGGAGCTGCCATGGCTTCTTAGGATCAGGCCTTCTTCAGGTGCAGAAGGCCAGTGTCAGCTCTTATAGTGTGAAGTCTCCAGAATGGTCTGGCATGATATGCATTTCCTGGCATTCTCCCTTTGCAGAGCAGCACATTCCCATCACCTTGGAGGCCTTGAGCCAGAGAACACAACCTGGATTCTGGCACAGGTGATGGGGAGGCTTAGCGGGGGGTTCAGGTAACCATCTCTCCAGATGATGCTGGTCTGTTGAATGAACTTCTACTCAGGTTTGAAGGGCTCACTGAACCTAGGTCTGAATCCTAAGTGATCCTGAAATCATCCCCACCACTCAGGGAGAGGTGGTAGCTCACTGGTAGATCTCATTCTTTGTATGCAGAAGGTTCCCAGTTCAATCCTTGGCATTTCCAGGTAGGGTGGCAATAGACCTCTGTCTGAGACCCTCTAGAGCTGCCACCGATCAGAAGAGCCAATACTGACCTTGATGTACCAAGAGTCTAGGGGTTGTATCAAATTATGTTATACTCATTGACCTAGTGAAATGAATGAACCTAAGTTAGTCACATCTGCTAACTTCGAGGGATCTACTCTGAGCAGGACTAGAATACATACAACACACTGATCTGATATCAGCTTCCTATGCATATGTGTGTTCCAGGGTAGTAGTTAACTAAATTTTACTCAGACTCATTGAAATTAATAAATACGACTAAGTTAGGTCCATAATTTCAGTAAGTCTACTTTGAATAAAAGGTAAGTTGAACACCACTCCCAGTTTGGATTTTCAGCAAACTAACTAACCAAAATATGTTGAATGTTTGCAGGACAAGCAAAGAAGATTGTGATTATGGGACCAGAGGTTATTGAGATAGTGCAAGGGTCTTCCCATACATTTCAAGTCCAGCTGGAAAACGAGAAAGGAGAGGTTTGTGAAAGTAAGAACTTTTTTATTTAACTAAGTTCTACTCAGAGCAGACCTGTTGAAGTTAATGGACCTAGCTTAGTCATTAACTTCAGTGGGTCTGCTCTGAGTACACCTAGTATGGGATACAACCCAATGTTGTGCTGTGTAAAAGACTTCTCACAATCTTGAACAGAAAAAAAAAAAAACCAAGGACCCAGCATTCTTTACTTAAAAAAAAGAATTGTGGGGATATTTAATCATTTATGTACAGCTTAATGCCAAAATAGGCTTCTAAGCGGTTTATGAAGTATAGTACATGTACTGAAATACATACTAGTTTCATAACAATTGTGTTAAATTTTGTTATCAGGCTTTTAAAGGGCCTTGGATCGAAAGACAGTTTGCGTACTGTTTCTTTTGCATCAACTGTAGTCACGCACACACAAACATACCAGAAGCAGGTTGAGACTGGGTAGATATCTAAAAATACAAATGTGTAAGCTGAAAAACTTTGGAAGTGTAGATTCTGTCAAAATTTGTCTTGAGGCATATCTACACTACAAATGTGGACAAATATCAGCTGGTTTAATTGCCATGACTTTCAACCCAAGAACCCTGAAAATTGTAGTTTTGTGCTGGTCCTCATGAGCCCCAATCCCTCCCAGGGAACTACAGTTCCTGGGGTTACTTTGTTGGGATTTATGACCACAGCAGATGGTGGAGATGATCTAACCCTTCTTCTAGTGGATGAATTCAGTATGGGTTGTAATGTCCATACACAGACACACTTGTTAAGTGTTAGGTGGTTCAGAGCCAAGATAACCCTTATGAGACTGTGTACACATTACAGGTAGGTAGCCGTGTTGGTCTTCTGTAGTCAAAACAAAATAAAAAAATTCCTTCCAGTAGCACCTTAGAGACCAACTAAGTTTGTTACTGGTATGAGCTTTCATGTGCATGCACACTTCTTCAGATACACATTGTACATTTAAAGCTCATGACTTCTCAAAAAGAATCCTAGGAACTGTAGTTTGTTAAGTTTGCTGGAAACTGTAGCCCTACAGTTCCCGGGATTTTTTGGTGGAAGCAATGTACTTTAAATGTATGGTGTGTGTGCAGGCTAAGTCCCTTTTTATGAATACTGGTTCCCATTTCTCGCTTTTCTTAGAGGCTTATGGTGATGATGATGTCTACTGTCCATCAGCAAAAATACACCTCCCTTTATTAAAAACTCCTCTTCCCCCTCCTTTCCCCCCTTTTTTTGTTCCAGTTGCTTTTGTTCTTTGGCCTCTCCAGCCAAGCTTCATGTTATCATTTGCCTCTTAGTCTCAGAAAACCATGTTTAGTTCTGATTCACATAGTTCTCTTTCGTTTTTATTGGCATCTTAGCTCTTTGTATGTTCTCATTTATTGCTTCAGACTATTACAAAGGCAAAACTTTTCAATACGAACATCTGACCAGAAAGAAGGTGGGGGGGAGAAGGAGGGAGGCTTTCTGTTAACAACAGAAAAATCATTTGTGCTTTGTATCCTTCCGATTCGGATTACTCTGAAGAAGTAAAGGCCACCTGCAGAACATTGTAATTAAATGAATATGACTAAGTACATTTTCCAGAAACGATGACAATTCTGTTGACTGTGGGCTTGTGTGTGTGTGTTTTCAGAGCTGGAAGGATGCTAAGTTACAATGCATTGTCTGGAATATATGCCCACCTTCGTGCCTGGCATCACAGTTTGAATTAAAACACCTACTTCTTTCTTCTTAATGGGCAATCTGAAGTAACAGGACAATTACTACAATAGCGCAGCCTTCGCCCGCCTGATTCCCGGCAGTGCTGAATGGGGTTGATGAAAGTGCTAGTCCAAAGCCATCTGGAGGGCATGAGGCTGGCAAAGGCTTCAGCAGCAGAACATCTACAAATAGAATTGGAGTATTGGAAGGGATCCAGAAGGTCATCTAACCCCCCCACCCCCACCCCCGAAATGCAGGAATCTCAACACATGGTCCTCCATTCAGTTTGAAACCATACTGGACCTTGCTATCATCCTCTGCCATGTGAACCTGCCCAAACTTTGGGGTCACATTCAGACTCTCTGTATTCTTCATGCCATCTGAAGTTAGGTGAAAGGTGACTGGGTTTAAATACAAATGTTCATGAGGATTAAAAATAATGATTCCTAGGTAAATGCGGAAAGAGGACAGAACCACCAAATGAAACACATGCAAAATTGACACAGACCATATCTAGCCTCTTCGTTGAAATCTGGATATCACCTCAGGTCTCACCCCTGTCTCACTCTGTTCTGTGTGCAGATCAACAGTTAACACTGCAGCTGCCTGCAGAGAAAATAACTAAATAATGGTTTTATTTGCCCTCTTCTCTTTTTTGCTTGATAGGTGAGAGTGGTCGACTGCTGGAGATCAGTGCTGGTATCCAAGCAGGCCAGCTTTCTGAAAGTTTAAAAACCAATTCATATGAGTTCCTTGAGCAAACTGGGAGGCAGCCAATCAAAAGCTCTTTGTAAGTAACATGGGGAAGAATTCATTCCGTTCATTCTTGTGACCCTAGACTCGTGTTATGGAGAAGCAACACGCTGAACAGCTCAAAGTGCTTCCTCGACGTGCTTTGGCTTCTCTTGAGCACATTCCAGGTCCCAAGTAATCCTCAACAACTAGCTGGATCTGGTTAAAATTCATGGGATAAGGCATGTGGAACACTGATAGGAATGGATGAATTTGTCAGTTTCGTTTCTCACAGTTTCTCATTTTTCCAATCTTAAGTTTGGTATGCCACATTTCTGCGTCAGTTTGTGGTGTTTTGTTTTGCTTAAACTCATTAAAATTTGTCAGCAGTTCAGTATGCATTTCTCATAATTCCCCCCCCCAAACATGCATTCTTTATGTTAATTTCATTAATGTATACACATTTATCTGCATCACCCTCTTATATACACATTCTAGGATGCTTTTTTGGGGGTGGGTTGGAGAACTGCATTTCAGAATTCGGAGAAGTATAAATTTTGAAAGATGATTATGTTTTAGTTCCCATGTTGTTTTGGGAAGTGTGAATTAGGAAGGATAGCGTGAAAATGAATGTCTCCCCCATCCTTAGTGAGCTGCTGAGGAGGCCTCTGAGGCCTGGGCTGTGAGCAGCTGTTTGGAGCCAGGCACCAGGAGTTGGAACTGAAGAGGGCAAATCAGCCAGGAATTAGGAGTGGGGAACAAGACTGGGAACACAGGGCATGTCTGGTGCTCTTTTGGTGTTTTGATTTCCTTTGATGGGCCACTTGGCATCTCAGCCATGTCATGGTAGCCTGGGCAAAGCTGGACCCTCCATTGCCAGAGGCCTCCAAGCAGAGACTGGACTGCCATTGGGGATGCTGTAACTCTAGATTGACTACATCAGGGGTTCCCAAACTATGGTCCCTGGACCACCAGTGGTCTAAAACCTTCAGGTGGTATTATTGTACTACAGTTTGAAATCCACATAAATTGTAATGCAGTGCAGGGACGCAGGTGGCACTGTGGTCCTAACCACCAAGCCTCTTGGGCTTGCCTATCGTAAGGTCGGCCGTTCGAATCTGCATGACAGGGTGAGCTCCAGTTGCTTTGTTCCAGCTCCTGCCAATCTAGCACTTTGAAAGCATACTGCCACGAGTAGATAAATAGGTACCACTGCAGCGGGAAGCTAAATGGCGTTTCTCTGTGCTCTGGCCTCCATCACGGTGTTTTCATGTGCCAGAAGTGGTTTAGTCATGCTGGCCATATGACCTGGAAAAGCTGTCTGTGGACAAACGCCAGCTCTCTGCCTGAAAGCATAGATGAGCACTGTACCCCATAGTTGAATTCAACTGGACTTAACTGTCCAGGGATCCTTTACCTTCACCTTTTCCTGCCATGCAGTACAGTATGCATTGTAATACCATAAAATACAGTATAAGGTATAAAGAAAGCAATAAAAATACAATTAAAGTTCATACAGCATATAGCACAGTGCATTACAGCAGGGGTCGGCAAAGTTTTTGTGACTTGGGCCAGTTCACGGTCCCGCAGATGCCGCAATGGGCCGGAGCACACATGCATGCACGCATGCATGTACAAACGCTATTTCTGGTGCGGAAGAGGTGTGTGCAGCTTCCCATTGGCTGCAGGAGCTTCCTGCAGCCAATGGGAAGCCGACCAACATCGCGGAAGGCAGTCCCTGCTCTGCTCCTCGCTGGTTCAGCGCGGCGCACAGGAGCCTTCAAGATACCCTACAACTTTATGATTCTCTGATTCTAATGTGTACTTGTCCACCAGACAACACCTGAATATCCTTTATAAATCAGGATCACCTTAGATTGGTATGTTCTTTCCCTCTGTTGAGCGTGTATAACACTTTTCTGCCACTATACAGATTCTGTGAGTTGTAGCACTCTTTAATATTGGGGCACTCCAACAGAGTTGGATTGCTAACCTGTGAAAGCCTGGCACATAGTTTAGATTGGAGAAAGGTATTTTCCACTCTTTCCCACCCTGTAAGAATAACAGCAGGCCATCAGCTTGGAATGCACTTTAAAAACACTGGCTAAAAAGGCTGTACTCTAGCCGATTTAAATAGAATCCACCATCAAAATGGAAGGAAGAATTTGTGCAACTGCTGGGGGGGATTTAACAAGGCTGTTGCAGTTGTTGGCTTATACTGCAGGTCACCAAGACCTAAGAAGCAAGAAGCAGGTCATCCCAACAACCTTGATGTACAGAGCTAGGGCCAAATGCCATCTTTTCCAAATCTGATGGACAAACTGCAGAGAAAGAGAAAGAGGGAGTGTTGGGCCTGTAACTTTCGTATATTTTAACCCAAAAGAGCCACAGATGAGTCATAAAGCCCTTCTGCTTGGCATGCAGAAGGTCTTGAGTTCAGTTCCTGGCATGAAAAGGATCTCAAAATGACAGTGTGCTGAGAAAGACTTTTGCCTGAGACTTTGTGGAGAGCCACCGCCTGTCTGAATGGTTGGCCAGCATGGGCCAGCGATCTGATTCTGTACGAACTTCACATGTTCATCCCTCATAGTGTATCCCACATCAATTCTGGATCACTTAGTTTTAAGGTTCATGAAGCTTATCAGTGCAATCCTGTTTCCTTTGGCAGCGGATTTGAGTATATTCCGTATCCTTTGATGATTGTCACGTCTGGAAGCCAGAAACCGCAAGCTGCCCTGCCTGCTGTTGGTGGAAATCAACTTGCCCTGCTTGAACTGCTAATACCCCCAAGTGCCTTAGAACCAGAATCTGGATCAAAACCTCTGGGTGGTGCAGGAGATGCCCTTAGCAACCACTACGGTAAGTAGAGATCATAGATTTAGCTTGAGTGCTTGGCTTTTGCAGTTAAGAGAGAAACAAAAGGTATCTTCTACCCCCTCAGTGAAACAACTTGAGACGGCTTTTGTCATGCTAATGGGCAGCTTTAAAAGCATTTTGCAGGCTGTAGGAGATTTGTCATTGACATTCCTCATAATAATTTGAATAGATTTATTTTTAAAAATACGTGTGTGTCCCCTGCATTAGACAGAATAGCCTTTGCTTGTTATGCAGCTTCTTTGGGTGGGTTTTTCCTTCTCTGATCAGTCAAAACATGCTGTTAAAAATGAATTAGGCAGGAAGTGTTCAGCGGTAACACCATATCGGCATTCTCATGTTGCTTTTGCTTGGGAAGTATGCCAGTGTTGCAGGGAGGAGGAGGAGGAGGAGGCATGTAGTGAAAGCACCAGTTTGCCTTTTGGAGTGGAGGCATGTATTGCTTTGTCTCTGAGGCCAAGGTGGAGATTCTGCTTAAAGCCCCGTTTTGTGCGCACAAGGAAGCAAGAAGGTCATTAGCGAATAGAGCAGTTTTCCTTTGGGTTATAGCTAAGTCCTACTCAGAATAGGCCCCTTAAAATGAATGGTCCTAAGTGGACCCATCACTTTCGCTGGGTCTGCTGTTGAGTAGGACTAGGAGACAGCCCTTTGATTCTCCTGCTCCTCTGCATGTCATCCATACATCTTTGCAAGCTTTAAGGGGGGAAAACAGCTTCCCCACTTCTATTTTAATGTTGTATTTTATTTTTGTTTTTAAGTTGTAATCATTCATCTTGTTTTTATTATTGCTTGTAAGCCGCTCTGAGCCCAGCCTTGGCTGGGGAGGGTGGGGTATAAATAAAAAATTATTATTATTATTATTATTGTTGTTGTTATTATTATTATTATTTTGTCACCTGTTCCATGAAAGAAAAGATGGGGGGTAGAACTAACATTTAAAGCAGTCTTTCTCAAATATTTTGAATTCATTCAGCCCCCCACCTTCCCGCTTCAAACCTTATTCCACTTTCTAGGCCTTGCTGCCCAGGTAAACCTCAGTTCTGCGAGTGAGCATCTGGGAAAGAGCACATGTTCTGCAAGGATAAAAGTCACCTGTTTAATCCCTGCCCTCTCCAGATTAGTAGGTGATGGGAAAAGGCCTCTGCACTGGGTGGACTAGCAGTCTAACTCAGATGAGTCAGTGTTAGAGCACCTGCTTTGCCTGTAGAAGGCCCCAGGTCTACCTAGCATATCCAGTTTTGAAAACCTCAGGTAGCAGGTGGTGGGAAAGATCCCTGCCTGAGATACCAGATTGCTGCTGCCAGTCAGAGCAGCCAATACTAGATTAAAAGTTTGACTTGATATAAGGAAGTTTCCTACAGTCCTCCCTGTTCTGGTGTTCAGCTGAGTGTCTACAGCCTCCTATGGCTGCATACAAAGATCTGTGGATTAGAGGCACTGATCCCAACACTTGTATCAGAAGAGAAATAAAAACAGGAGACATCCGCTTCACACACAATGTCAAGTTCAAAACAGAAGCTCTTTCTGAACACCAGTATCAGTATAGTCATGCTGAGATGATGTGGCAATATAGGATCCAGTATGGATCAGTGCAGATCTTTCAGGCACTCATCATTATCCATTTTAATTTTTAATTTATTTATTTATTTTCTGCTTTGTGTAAGGAGCTCAGGGTAGGATGCTTGGCTTTTCCATTCCTCCCTCCCATGCACTGTACCATGTGCAAATCAAATTTATTTAAGAAAATATGTAAGACCCCTCCTCCACACCCTCCCTCTGTGCTTGTGTCACTAAGGGTAGCATACAAATAAAATAAAATAAAATAAATAAATAAATTACAGAATACATTAGAAACTCATGAGTTTCACTGCCTGAAATTCGGTGGGGAGTTCTGTAGCAACCTCAGAGATAGCCTTCTCCTGTGTCCCAACCAGCCATGCCTCTACCATGGTTTGGATGGCTGCCAGTCACAATGGCTACCTCCATTGTCAATATGCCTCTGATTACCAGTTGCTGTGAATCACAAGTGGGGAGGGTGCTGTTGCGCTCAGGTCCCACTTTCAGGATTCCCACTGGGGTACCTGGTTGGTCAATGGAAGAACAGGATGATGGGCCTTTGGTGGGCCTTTGGCCTGATCCATCAGGGCTATTCTAATGTTATTTCTGGGAAGACAGAACAGCTGTTGTAAATAAGGATGTCAAGTGCTTCCATGGTTGAGCACCCACCAGCGCTCTCTTTGCCACAAACTGTCTCAGCTAAAGTTTCCAGAGACTCATCCATATTTGCCCCACGGTGAGCACAGTGCAATAATTAGATGTGTATGTTACTAAGGCACATGTAGCCATTGCAAGACCTGGCTTCATTAGGAATGGATGTGGTTTGCCTACCAGGCTAGACTGGGAGAAGTAGCCTTGCCACAGCCACTCCTGCAGCTGCTGGAGGAGCAAAACCTGGTCTATCTATGGCCCCCTCCAGATGTCCTTTATATTGTGCATTTGTGATGATCCGTGTTCATGATGACATCAGTCCAGTTGTATATGGTCCAACTTTCAGCACTGTTTGTACCTCCAAAAGTTTGTGGGTTGATATACCGCTCTCTTTCCAATCAGTGCATGCCCATTAATTGACTCCCGAAATCCTGTAACTTCTTATACTACAAATGTCTCGGTTTATTTTTTGTCCCGCTTTTGTTGTGCTGTAGTGCAAGAGTTGCCTTTCTGGGTAGCTGTAATGCAGTAACATTGGGGCAGCCTCACAGAACAGCTAACGAAGCAGAATGATGTGTGGGTGGTCCATTATAAATTCATCACTAATCCACTTTTATTGAATTTGCAGAATACACCCTGCAAACCCCCCCCCAAAAAAAACCACCAGTCTGGAGGGTCCCTGTTACATTTGTATCTTATCCTTCCTCTAAGATGCTTAGGGCAGTGTGCATAGGATGTGTCTCATGTTATTCTCACAACAACCCTGCAAAGTAGGTTAAACTGAGAGAGGGTGACCAGCCTAGAGAGCTTAGTGACTGACCAGGGATTTTAACCCAGGTTTCTCAATGGTCCTAGCCAGACTTTCAAGCATCCTGCATCTCACTCTGCCCATGTGATGCATAATTTCATCTGAATTGCACCTCCACTTTTGCCTCCATATACATTAAAGTGAATTGGTGTGAAATACCCAAATAATTTCAAGGGGGCCCCCAAATGGCTTTGCTAACTTTCTCTGGGCAAGGTGGGGAGGGTGGTCTGCAAATCCGTGGTCTATCTATTTACCACCCCACGAGGGCCCCTTTTTCTTTCTACCTAAAATCCACCTACTCAGAGCTGTGTCTCAAGGTTTATTATAGTCCCAGTGAGTCAAACCTGCCTACTCATCTTATACATATATACATTCACAGCCTATATTGTTGTTTTGGTTTCCTAGAGGACATGAAGTAACAGATGAGCTAACACTTTTCTTTATAAATATGCCAGGATTATTTTACAGGCCAGTTATTCCTGGAATTATTCATGGGAGCCTGAATGCTGAGATCTTGGGAGTTGAATCAAAGTTTAATCACTTTGGTTTATTGTGAACTGTAATATTAAATCCACCCCATATAACTTGATACATTGTAAATACACGATTTGCATCTTAATACACTCAACTTGCTAACAAAGTGGAGAGAAACTGAGTGGTAGTTAAAATTGCATCTATCTTTGGACTCTGGAGAGTTTATTTTGATAGCCCCAACATGTGCGATATGCTCTGCTGGCCCCTCTTGCCAGCTTTGTTTTCGTCATACTGAATTCAGTTGGCTTTTGCTTCCCCCCGCTACCAAAATAAATGTTTATAAGAGCCCTTATTTAACACCTGACCCCCACTATTAAATTACCAGAAGATTTGGGTTATTAAATAAACGTGCCCTCTCTTGGTTTGATTCTCCCCTCCAGCGTGTTTTGTTAGGGACGTTTCAGATCATGGATTAAAATGCATTTTCTTTGTGGGGAGAAGTACTGAAGCAGAGAGATTTGGTGTGTGCAGGACAGTGGGGGGATACTCTGCTCTCATACATGTAAATGTCACTTTGTGGGGGAACCATGGGGTTGCTTTCTAGATTTGGAGGTGGTTTAAAAGGGACTTTGCATCTTGGGTTTAACAGATCCAAGTGCAGCTCCCTGAGCTCCCCAAAATCACTCTTTGAGTGGACTCTTAGAAGCTGTTTTTTATGGGCTCTTCTACAGAATGAAATGTGCCTCCTGTCCAGGTAGGAGAAGGGCAGGAGTCAGGAGTGTCTGCAGGGGTTTTTTCCGTGGGGTTGGTTTTAGGTAAAGGTAAAGGGACCCCTGACCTTAGGTCCAATCGTGACTGACTCTGGGGTTGTGGCGCTCATCTCGCTTTATTGGCCGAGGGAGCCGGCGTACAGCTTCCGGGTCATGTGGCCAGCATGACTAAGCCGCTTCTGGAGAACCAGAGCAGTGCACGGAAACGCCGTTTACCTTCCCGCCGGAGCGGTACCTATTTATCTGTTACAATACTACAAATAAGCATACATATGTACATAACTGAAATGTGGGAGCAAGGAAGTTTCTCACAAAACAAATGAGGAGAACAGTGCCAGCACACTTTGCCTCTTATATCTATAAATTATAGAAACTTTTTAAAATGGAAGCTGGGAATCTGGGGTTATGGTTCATGCGGTGGAGGAGGGGAAACTGAGTGCCTCCTTGTCTTCCGCCCCACGGATGCCCATGGTAAGAGCAATGAAGGGTTATTTCTTCAGGGCTTTTAAACAGTGATTATCAACTTTGGATCCCACATATGTTGTTGGACTACAATTCCCATTATCCCTGGCCATTGGCTAAATTAGCTGGGGAGGACCTTAAACTTGGTGCCCTTGGGTAAGATGCTCTCAGTGGACATATGAAGCCTGTTGGTCCATCCAGCTTGATATTATATACATTTATTTATTTATTGAAATGTTTATATACTGCTATATCATAAAATA